GGGTAACGGCGCAGCACAGTCCCTCTGGAGATTTATTCTTCATGCCTGTTCTCTTCAAACTCCCTCAAGTGATGTCAAGCTTCTGCCACAGAATCTTCCAGCTACTGTTCAAATAATTATTGGTCAACCATCCTAGGCTGCAGTGCTATTTATGATGTTCTTCATAATGTGAGAAAATTCTACTTATCTGTAACTAGCTGTCGATTGGTCTTGATCTGTTTCCTCTACCATCTCCTTGAACATATGTCAAGCCAGACACTGTAAATTTCTATTTTAATATCCAGATGAAAACTCCCTTTTAGCTTGAGACAGCTCCACTCCAACATTCCCACTTGCTGACCCTACACTAGCAATTATGGATCAAAACTAACCCTATTAAGGCAGACAGGAAGAGGCCTGGAATTATTTCCTAAAGTGAGTCTTTGCTTATTGTATTTAATGATATGAAGGCAGAGAGGATTCCTAAAAGGGAAAGAATAACACCCTTTCTGCACAGGAGTCAGTTTTCGTATATATGTTGCTTAAACACCATCTGGTTTAATAAAGAGAAAACCTTTGCTGCATGGAGAGACACCATGTAAATGTAAACATAAAACATTATCAGGAGGAACAACTGTATACAATTTTTAAAATAATTTTTCCAAAGCTTGTCTTTATAGACAACAGCATTAACTATTCTATATTCTATCATATCTCACATAAAGTCATAAAACATTCTAAGAAAGCAGATATTAGAACACTGTGAAAGATTTTTTTTTTTTCAACGTTTTTTATTTATTTTTGGGACAGAGAGAGACAGAGCATGAACGGGGGAGGGGCAGAGAGAGAGGGAGACACAGAATCGGAAACAGGCTCCAGGCTCTGAGCCATCCGCCCAGAGCCTGACGGACCGCGAGATCGTGACCTGGCTGAAGTCGGACGCTTAACCGACTGCGCCACCCAGGCGCCCCAAAAAGCAGATATTAGAACACTGTGAAAGATTTAAAAGCCTCAAGTATCAAACTCACAAATTAACAAAGTGGTGGTTTTAATTCTGTTGCTACCTCAATGAGGGATATGACACCTCTTTTACTGGCAAATGGGGGAGAAGGGACCTGCTCCCACCAAAAGGAGGGCACGTGAGAATCTCAGAAAAACTGGGGTATAGGCATCTAGTTTTAAACAGCATACACATGCATACACAGTTACAAGCTGAGAGTCACAAATATAAATTTGTAAAGAATGATTCAGTTAAGAACTGCACTTTGCAATAAAGAGTCTGATAATGTAATTTTTTAAAAGAACTGGATAACAAGATAAAAGTACCTTAAATGAGATTTTCAACAGTACTGAATATATAAAGTTTTCTAAATGAACTACAAAGGCATCTCTGATCTCACCACCTGTATTATCAAAGAAAGGACAAAGACATCTTGTTAAGTATTTTTTTTAATTAAAAAAAATAGGAAATTTTGCTCATATACTAAGGTTGTCATTTTCAGAAAAATACTTTTGGAGGGAAATCAGCAAGTTTAAACCATCTGGCTTCAGATGGAGCTTAAAGGTCACACAGGCAATTGCTGGCAAACAGAGTACCAAATCCCAGTCCTGGGCTTTCTGTACAATGCACGGTATTTTCTTTCAAGAGTTTCCTCCTTTTTTTTTTTTTTTTTTTAAATTTTTTTTTCAACATTTATTTATTTTTGGGACAGAGAGAGACAGAGCATGAACGGGGGAGGGGCAGAGAGAGAGGGAGACACAGAATCGGAAACAGGCTCCAGGCTCTGAGCCATCAGCCCAGAGCCTGACGCGGGGCTCGAACTCACGGACCGCGAGATCGTGACCTGGCTGAAGTCGGCCGCTTAACCGACTGCGCCACCCAGGCGCCCCGAGTTTCCTCCTTTTTAAGAGTACTTCCAAGTAGCGCCAGCACAAAGTTTTTCTAAGAACTTAATATACAGTGTATGGTCCAGCCAAAGTTTCAAAGGAAGTTTACAAAGGACTTGCAGTGTAAAAGCCACACAAGTATGATGAGGCGGTTTCTGAAACGGAGCAGTGTTTGTGAAAGACCACTGGGCTGGAGGCTGAGGGATCCAGGGCTTGCTGTTTACCTGGAGTCTCCCTCCATCCCACAGGCAAATCTCTTCATCTCTGCATTTCTTTTGTTTTTTTCCTACTAAATGGTGTCTGCCACTACTTATTTATTAGCTTTTCAGACAAACAGGTGGATTCATCTTGAAGTATGAAATGTATTATTATAATTAGCATTACTAATCTAGCCAAAAATTGGGAACAGTTTCTTTTCAGTAGTTATCTTTAAGTTACCACATAATTTCACTAAAGCCATTTTGGATTTTAGGTCCTTCAGGATAAATCTTTAATTCACAGAAAACTGTTATCACAGTGCCCGATTGCACTAAATTAGTATTCTAAGTCATAGAGAATTAATGCTTCCAAAAAGAAGAATGAAGTTCAGGCACTATTATTGCAGATTCCTGCTGGCAGAGTTCATCACTAATGAGCTGACAGCACCAGAGTCCCTGTGAATGAAAGGTCTGTCTCGGTGGGCCCATAACTCGCTCGTGTACATAAGAATTACCCAGAGGGCTGTTTTTATTTTTTAATTTTTTTTAACGTTTTTATTTATTTTTGAGAGAGAGAGAGACAGAGCATAAACAGGGAGGGTCAGCAAGAGGGAGACACAGAATCTGAAACAGGCTCCAGGCTCTGAGCTGTCAGCACAGAGCCCGACGCGGGGCTTGAACTCACAGACCGCGAGATCATGACCTGAGCCGAAGTCGGCCGCTTAACCGACTGAGCCACCCAGGCGCCCCCAGAGGGCTGTTTTTAAAAGACAGATTCCTGGGCTGACCCAAGACCTAGTGAATCAGAATCTGTGGAAAAGTGGGGCGTGGAACCTAGTTTTAAAGGTGCTCAGGACACTCAGACGCTAAGCCAGTTTGCAGATCTCTACCTCTCCTTGCTACTCAAAGTGTGGTCCTGGAACCATAAGCATCTCCATAACCTCGGAGCTTGTGAGAAGTAAAGAACCTCACTCCCACAGCAGATCCACTGAATCAGAAACCACTTCAACAAGCTCTCGAGGTGAGTTGTACACACCTATCGGTTTAAGAAGCAGTGCCTCAATTACTTCTGTCCTGCCTGGTTGAGGGATTTTATTCCTCCTCCCAAACAATAACAACATAAATACATCCCCTCTCTTGCCACAGAAATTTCCCCAGGAATAAAGTAAGTGAAAAATTTTTTACTGCCTTAATTAAACTCTACCTTTAAAAAGATTTACTAAGAAAGACTATTTGGAAAAAAATGAAACAAAAGTAATTGTTAACTAAATTACAACCTGAAATCTTATTTCTCATTGTTAAATTATGAACTGTGTAAAGTATACACTTACAGTTTATCTCCGAGCGGGTTTTTTCTTCTCTTACATTTCTACTTGTTGAGTGAATTCTATGTGGTACAGCAACAAGAGGCTAGGAAAAGACCAAAATCAATGATAATGTGGCATTTGATAATCAAGTCACAGTCTGGTCCACAAAATTACCCAAATGTGAAAGAAATACCCCATTTTATGCAAACACAGGACAAAATATAATGATTCTGTGGTTATTTTTTTTACAAAGGAGGCAACCAGTAACTGGGAGCTTCTAAGATTATGGATATATTTTATCCACAGCAGGTTCCCAATAAACGTTCTCTGAAATAAATAGAAATAAATATCCAAAACTGAGTATTTCAATAATTCAACAGCTGTTCAAAAGCTGCAGCTTTCCCTGTTGCAGAAGAGGATACTGTGATTTAAAAAAAAATCTGCCTCAAGTTCTTCTATCAAAAAGAATGGGGTGAATAAAATGAAACGATGCTAAAGGCATTAAAGATTTATGGTCCTTTTACTTTAGTAAGCATAATTTTTTCCCCCTTCATGTTTCTTCTTATAGGAACAGCACTCTATTTTCTTTCCTTTTACTGTATTAAAAGCTCTGTGTATTGCCACTTCCAGAGAGAAACATTCAATCACAGACATCCCTCCAACCATATGGAGTACGAGGGGCCTTATCTGAGAAGCTTCTGCAGCTTCTGCCCATACACTTGAAGGTCTCACCTTAAGAGGTGATGCCAGCATCTATTTCACGTACCAAATAGGTTTTTTTTTTTTTCTGTGTGTGAAACGCTTCCCTTGAAGTTATTACCTTTGAAGGAGACACACTCGTAGATATGTCTTCGTGAAAAATGTAATTCATTAACATTTAAGTTCAAATTAGCAGATTCAAAAGGCAGATCAAGAACAGGACCCAAGTCAACTATTCTCATATTGGTGTGTCTCAGGAAATAAAACCTTATGAATCTAAAAGACCCCAAACACTGAAATACTGATAGTAGTCAAACAGCAGCAAAAGCCATTTCAAAACTGAAGTATTTAAACTTTACGTGTACACAGTGGTTTGCAGTTTTACAAAGTGCTTTCGTACACCTCAGCTCATCCTGTCCTCAAATTACACTTGTGAACCAAGTACTATTCTTCATTTTATAGATGAGAACACTGAGACTCAAAATTCGGGCACTCAGCTAATTAGACGCAGAGCTGGAAAAGAACAAACCCCGTACTTCTGATAACAATATATAGTAGCAAAAACAAACAAGCAAGCAAAAACAGGTATCCCGTCAGGCTAGTCACACAGACTGCTATTACCAGTGAACATGAATAAAACCTGTGACTGCCTAGGAGAACAGTTTTACTTTCCCAGCTTAAACGGTATACCTATAAAATTATTAAATCTCAGAATGCTGAACAGAGTAAATGGGTTAACATGTGGAAGAAAACTATATTAAGTATAATGTGCAGCACCTTTCTAAAAAACTACATGGGAATCCAAAATAAAAAAGTCAAACTTCCTTCCAACAGTGTAGGATAGATAATACATTTTAGAGACTGTAGAATTAGCAGATGTGCTCAATGTTTTCAAGAGTATTCAGCCTTCATACAACATGCACAGTATCACAGCAAATCCTCAAATGCAAGTTAGATACATGTCACTCAAATTATGAGTGGGAACGCAGCCCTTAGCAATTTCAACAACGAAGCATTTGCAAGTAGTAAGATTATGAATTTCTCTGGGAAAAGTTTTATCTTAAACATGAGAAGAAAAGTTCTCCCCCCACAACCTACAATTATAATACGAACAACACAGACTTCATAAGAAAGATGAATTTCTTTCTCCACTACATGAGAAAACTTCAGAAGCATCTTCATTCCACAGACTGCTTCTGTATTTGGCTTATTATTTCTCCTGTTTAAGTACATTTTCAAAAGGACTTCGTAATTCAGTGTGACGAGTGTACAGGATGTGCAAAGAGACAACGAGGTGGCATTCAGTGCACTGAGAAGACACAGGCAGTCCTTGCCTTGCAGTCTCAGGATGCACGAATTTCAGTCACCATGAATTAGTTAAATGACACCAGTCCCCCATAACATGGTTCAAATATCAGTCAGCAGTATATTAATTGTATAGATACTCTACAATCGTATAATATTTGGTATATTAATATCTTATTAACATTCAGTACATGAACTGTAACTGTATAACGTACAAACTTCACTGCAAGCTCTCTATTCAGGCCACAAATCACCACATGACAAACAGACGCACGTCACATTCAGTGACAAATCACATCGCTTTTTCCCATGTCTGTGACTGCTCACTGAGCACCTGTCAGCTCGTGCACAGACGGCAGAGTGGGTAGTTGTGTTCCCTCTGGTCTCCCAGTGAGGATACACTCATGTGACATTTTAACAAAAACTGGTAGCTGAAAGAGGGAATTAGCCAACAAAGATGAAAGTGCTGTAAAGAAATAAAAAGTGTGAAGTCTGGATCATGCTGGAAATAAAATCTGAACGTAACATGTAAGTGGAGTTCTAGGAAGAAACAGATGACGGTAAGAGCGTGGACCCGGCTGCTGCTCACGAGCCTATACATGTACAGCCAGAGAACTCGGTGAAGGTGAACTTACTGGTATAAAGGAAGAAAGCGGTTCTGATAAAAAAGAGGAAGATGCTCCCAAAGAAGTGGCATCCACAAAAAATTTCACATCACGGGAATACGAATATGGAGATATTTCATGCATTGGAAGTACAAAGGAAAAGAATGTTGGAAAATGACCCGAACTTAGAAAGGGAGTAGGACAGTTCACCAAGGCACAAAAAATGTACTTGCTCCGTGTCACAGTTAAGACAAGAAGGCAAGCACTGTGCAATCTACTTAGTAAGTAGACTACTTGAGAATCAATCTATGCAAGTTTTTTTGTAAAAAAACAAAACACGTTAATTCTCACTGGTTCTAATATTTTAAATAACAGTGCAGTAAGTAAATATTAGTCTTAATTACTTTTTCACTTCCTTATACATTTAAAACTGACAGTAAGAGAATTTTTAATGTTCTTACAAAAAATTTTCAAAGTCACAGAACAACTGTCACTTTCCCACTGATTATTAAGATCCCTTTGCAGGGTGTCTTGGCTACCAGGGTCATTTTTATAGTCCCCCATTACCTTGCAAATTGAAGACTTAAGCATAACAATAAAACAAGTTTTCCCTACTATAATTATAAGATCAATAGTAACACTTTACATTCCTTAAGTTTTATGTTTCCAAACTCCTTTCCAGACTTTGAACAAAAGGACAGATAGCTTTTTTAATTACAGCTGTATAATGATGGCAAGCTAGAACAATGGTGAATTGACAGAAATGTTCTGACTTAACACAATACACAACCATCTTTCCAACCACTGAGAGTTATCGTTCCCTCAGTATCAAGAAATTTACACCATTTTAAGTATCTTCCATAAAGCCAGTCATCAGGGTCAAGGGTATCCATCTCAAGTTATATATCCAATAACAAAATTCGGCCATGTCACATTTACCAAGTTTCTCTTAGGTGTCACAATTATTAGCTGGGCTAGGAATGTTAAGTATGCCAACAGAAAAGAAGCTTCCTTTGATATCAATCCTTTTATCATATTAGTTATTTTATTCTCTAACAACTACACTGCCTCATTTAAAAACATTTTTTTTTAACGTTTATTTTATTTTTGAGACAGAGAAAGACAGAGCATGAATGGGGGAGGAGCAGAGAGAGGGAGACACAGAATCTGAAACAGGATCCAGGCTCTGAGCTGTCAGCACAGAGCCTGACATGGGGCTCGAACTCACGGATCACGAGATCATGACCAGAGCTGAAGTCGGATGCTTAACTGACTGAGCCACCCAGGCACCCCAACACTGGCTCATTTTAAAACATTCCCGTAGTGGATAATTAAGGTTTTAGTCACCAATAAAATCAATCCTATACTTTCTACTAACCACTAATAATTCATGAGGTACTGTAGCAGGATTGTTTTTAAAAGGAAAACTGAACAGAAATTTTGAATGTATTCTAACATCTGACTTAGGTACTTCCTGTCTGCACTCTCTCTTTTAAAGTGGACGATTTATTTGGCAACTTCATCCAAAATGACTACTTTGAAATAACTACAGTAATTTCACCAAGTGGATTAGATGATTGTGCCTTTGCCATTTTCAGAAAACAGTCACACACACGAAGACAGTAAGAAAAATCCAACACATGACTTCCCTAGGAGAGACCAATTCAAAGAGTTCATTATTCCCTCACGAGTTTATTATTTAAACCAGACCCAGAACTTTAAAATATTGCTTCTGAGATGCACACACATACATACATATATGTTACATGTATACTTGGTAAAAACCGTTCCTACCTCAGGATCATCATCATCAAAATCATGGTAGGTGGAATGATCTGGATTATTCACTTTATCTAACAGTTCGATTGCCAAAGACCGTGTCAAAGGTTGTGTGACAAAAGGGTGCTATAAAAATAATATAGAACACTCATTAGAAATATGATTGGATGACATTTTACCTTTTGAAAAAAAGATATTTCAGGGAACAATAATACCTGTAGTAACTTCTCAGCAGTAGGTCTTTTCTTTGGATTTTTGGTGAGTGCCATTTTTACGAAATGATGAAAACTATTTGACCTAAGAAATTTTGAAAATTAAGACTTTTAAATTTTAATTATTTTTTTAGTCATGATTATGAAGTAAATAACACAAAAATACTTACCATTTCATTTTATCTTTTAGTTTAGGAGGCTGAAAATTACTTTTTGTCATTAGAAATAACGCTCTGAAAAATCAACAACAAATTGTTACACAGCATTTTAAGCTTTTATATTTTAATATATAATATAAATAATTCTATTACTATTAAATAATTCTATTACAATTACTAAGATAGAGCAAGACTCAGACTAGTATTTATGATGTAATAAGTACTGGGGGTGAGAGGATCACCCTTAATTTAAGCACAGAACTCTTCAATTATGATACACTGACCTCATTGGGTGCAAGTCGAACATAGGCGGCTGAAGCTCCGCAAGTTCTATGGCAGTGATTCCCACAGCCCAGAGGTCACAGAGCTGGTTGTAACCCCCTTTCCTCTCAACAGCTGCGACCTCTGGAGCCATCCTGAAGGAAATATTGCAGGGAAAAAAAAAACTGCAAAACTTGTGTTTACTGTATTTTCTTCCATATTCCCACCAGAGGCACTTGGAACTATCCCTTTCTAAGCTGAGGCCTACTTAGGCCTTGATATCTGAAAAATAAGTATGTAGTATTTGAAAGATCTCTGTCGAGATCTTGATCCCTTAAAAGACCCTCCATCCCAAGACCCTACTGGTGATTCCTTGGTTACTTTGCTATACTTATAAAGGTTTATAAAACTTGACATTTATAGTACAGCAACATAACCCAAATTTGTCCACACCTTAATCTCTTTTCTCTGTACAATGTAGAATTTTACAGAGAAATAACATCTTGCAATAAATGATCTATAATTTTTAGCTCTTACCTATTTGTACCAGTGAACTGCAATCTAGCCTCTGTTTTCATATGACCAAAACTACTTACTGGGGCATCAATAATCTTCATTTAGTATTTAGCTCATACTTACTATAAATTTAACTGGCAGTTTTTCAGCTTTATTTTAAAGGTGGAAGTTATAAAAATGAGTGTCTGCTTTTTAAAACTGTATTTATTTAGAGGAAAATTACCCAAATTTAGTTTTAACTTTCCTATATAGTCTTGTTCCAATTGTAGCTCTATAAATTTTTATTTGACTGATTTAAATTATATTTTCAAATATAAAAGTTTTTAAATTCTAAACAACGGTTTTGAAAATAACCAACTCTCACATATCAAAAGAATGATTTTAGTAAGTAACTTTACAAATACCCCTTGTCCTCCTATTATGATTTTAGGGAAGTCAAGTAAATTGGTGAAGTTAAAAATACGTACGTACACACACACACACACACACACACACACACACACACACACACACACACCTTCTGACTTTCAAAATGCTTCCTCTTAAAATCTTTCTAATCTTAAAGTACTTCTTAAAAATAGTCGAACTCGGGGCGCCTGGGTGGCTTGGTCGGTTAAGCGTCCGACTTCGGCTCAGGTCATGATCTCACGGTCCGTGAGTTCGAGCCCCGCGTCAGGCTCT